ATCGTGGTTTCGCCATCCGAGAGCGATGAGTCGTAGGGGTTTCATTCTGCTATATTCATATTATTGAAGTGGTCATCTCTTTTTGTTTGAGGTTATATGTTCCAGGCTCACGACGAAGGGTCAGGTACCTGTTTAGAGGTAACATAAAAAGGCGGGCCAAAGTGGCTATAGGTTTCATTTATCACTCTTTGACTTGTTACTCGTGATCCATAGAATGTCAGAAGAATCTTCTAATACTTTATCAAAGAACCCCTGAAACCAATAGTCCTGCAAAAAAGGTAATATATCCAATTTGAAACCTCCTGATAGCAGGCAGCGCCGATAACATTGCACGCTTGACCAGGTACCAAAACCATCTCAGACGAGGCCTCAAGGCCAGCGGAGCGAGTAGTTCCCCCCTCTATGCGGACAGCAGAGAACTCCGCCCCAGGTAACGTGGTTATATGCACCGAACGCTCCGAATCACTATCGGACTCGTTCGTATGAAGTACTAGGTAATCGTGAATTTCGCGAACCCCTTGACTCGACTCGTGGTTCAACGCAAGAGGCGCTAAGGTTCTGAGGGGGGATTTAGTGCTAATATGATACTAGAAATCTCAATAAGCCTGAACGTACTTTGCGCCGTATTTGGAAAAGTGTTTGAAGATGTTCCCCGCGAAGTCGTACGCCACTATATCCAGAATCCGTTCTCTTCACGTAACAGATCACGAATAGTAACACATCGGCGACGTCTATAAACAACACATGACATTGTAGATATCGGCAGTGTCTCTAGACGTCTTAGGTCCATTTGCTAGTCAGTTTCGATGGTCGCGCGGTGCTCGGATCGAGAAAGCCTAATGAGCGAGGACAGAACTTCGTCGCATAAAAACCACTGTTTTACACTGGGACTAGAGGCATACGTTTAAACGGTGGATGGCCTAGTGACTCTGTTCATCAATAGACTCAGGCACAAAGCGGTCCACATAGATATGTCATCTTTCCCTAAATAGACTACTGAAAACAAATGTGTCAATTTACGCTCTTGATTCAACGAGCATAATCCCACGACCATTGCGTGGTCACCCAGCAAACTTCATTGCCTAGCGGCTGAACATGTGCCTGAATACTACTTCGGTATTGCACCTTCGATCTTCTTAATAATAATCCAGAAGAATGAACACCTATTTCAATCCACTATGAAGTGTGTAGCGTTTAGCACTCTCCACGGCAGGATTATCGATACGAGCAGATTCAACCGGCGGTTTGATGACACCATAGGCCATAGACTTTTCGTCCTTCCTGATTAAGAGGTATCTTTTTCTCACTAAAAGGTCGTCGAAGCTCAGATTTGTAGCGGATAGAATAGCATCACCCGTCCAGTTTGCTTCGGGATATGTATGCGTGGTATTAGATACTAAAACCGTGTAAACGCGCGAACGAGTAGTAGAAGTTGTTTACAGCCGAGTGAGCTTCATCCCTGAGATTTTTACCTCTACTAAAAGGTTCTCGAAACCCTATATCGCGGATGTGGCGAGGCTCACGGGTTTGGAGAGCTGTGGGCTGCGAGAACTGGGTTTGACCAGGGCGAGCACCCATAGCTAACAAAGTCAGAGTGACAAAGTCCGAGTGACACAATTTTGATCACCTACGTAGTAACAAGGTTAGGATTGATATAGCGAAAGTCGTGAGCGGCTTCCTACTTTACTACCACTGTAATACAAATAGAAAAAAGAGGGGCTCCATTGACGTCAACTTCGTATACGCCCCGTTTCGAGGCCCCGAGGCCGGCTAGTGGAGCGGCCACAAGCAATTCAAAAACTCGAAACGACACTCCATGGACTTTCTTCCACATTTTAATCCAAATCTAGGACCTCGATTGCCGTCGAGAATAATCAAACTTTATTGACTACAGTACATGTAGTATGGGCCCAAGGAGCGTTGAGTGAATACTGCTATGACGATATATCAACTATCACTGGCCCATTTATGTGTTCCTCAACGAATGAGCTGACTTTCGATCGCAGGAGCTATAGTACCTGCAGAAACTGTTTCAATCTCTCCATTCTCGAGGTAATATCCTTAGCGTGTTCTACGTTGTTCATGGCCGAGAGGATCGTAGTCGGTTCTAGGCTTCCATCATACCCATGTTTTCGCCCCCCCTTCTCTCTCTGAAATCTCTCCCCAGTCACTGACTGTCCCTCAGTACGGCCCACGTAACCTGTCTCTCTCCATTTGCTTACGCCGCTGGAACTCGAGATAGAGGCCCGCCTTTTCCACTTCGGGATAGCATCGGTTCGTCGACGGAGTCGTCATCTACGTCCAGAAAATCAGGCGTGTGGGGAGGATTGTTCTCTGTCGAGGACGCATCAGAGGAAGACTCGATGAACCTGCACAATATAGGACCCAACCGGTGTGCCTTTAGAGCAACGAAACCTGCCGCCTCTCCCAATCTACTGATAGGCCTTAAGTTTAATGGCAGCGATGCTAGAGGTAGTGGGGGGATATAGCGATAGTTATACATCTTGAGCCTTCGCTTTCCAAGATCCACACACCAGGGACCGAGGTACGACTCGTCCATCAAGTCGGGAAGATTTTAGGGAAGGCAGCATTTAGACCTCCACGTTTTCTTAGCGACGAATTCGATAAGGGTCAGCATGGTCGGTTCCTACTTAAGCGAATCGAAGTTGGAGTCCTGAGTTCGAGGTATAGCTTCAAGGGCTCGGGAAAGACTATCCTTACTCCAGGGCACGCCAGGAGTGACCTCGATTGTCGGCTGGCCGGACTTGTAGAAAAGTCCACGGAGAAAGGCAAGCCGGCGAGTTACGTCGCCAATTGTAGGTTCGGCGGTTAGGTGAGGACTTTGAATTCCTACGTAGGTCTCGATGGCTCGGCAACGAAGGTCATAGCCGCTAAGGTCGGAGCCTACGGAAGAACGAATTTATATTATTGCTTCAAGGTAAACAACCCAAGCATAGATTCGGTGGTCTATGTCCATAGTAACGAGCCTATGGCTATCGGAGTGGGTAACAGATGAAGTCAGGTTCGGATAGGGTTCAATGCTCCTAGCGTTCGTCAAAATAACTAGCGATATTGATGTCTTATAGTCTTCTCCGGAAGCAGCACGACCACATCTTAGACCACAATACTATCGGTAATTATAAGTGCGCCGAAGAGCGTAACTATAGTCAAGCGATATTGTTAGGACACCTTAGAGTGGATACTTTCATACACAACGGTACCGAGCTAGAAGGCTTATCTAGCACCGCTAATGAGGCAAGTGCTAGCCACGTTGCCTACCTTAACGACTACGTGTCAGGCAATGTGCCGCGCAAGGATTTTATTACAGGCGTGTTTTTTGCCGAAGTGCCCATTCCATCCAGTAACGCCTTTCTACTACTAGTTACGCCCAATATACCAGGTTACGAAGCCGGACGTATTCGCTATCCCTGCCACACAATGATAAGCAAATATCGGGAGGTGCCAGGCTTGCCGTTGAGGCAGGCATCTGCCGTGCTACACCTTCAGCCTGCAGCTACTTCCTACACCAACCGATAGTGTCAGGCGAACCTGCCTCACTACTTCAATAGCATGAACATCATACATGCGTGGTACTAGGATAGGAGGTGGTCCTTCACCAAGGTACAGTCAAGCTACTGCCAGTGGCGGGGATGCGTTTCGGTATACGGAATGGGGCTCACGGGGGGTACCACCTTCCCCATCCTGAAAAGTCACTATATAGGTGTTGAGTCAATTTCAGAATGGCCAGTGAGGCCCACTAGCGCACTGCTCGATTCTTGCCTATTCCAGGTCACCGAGGCGCCTGACCGCAACTTAGCCACTCACTATTGAGCTTTTAGGAAGCGGTGGCATATAGGCGCCTATCTAGGCTAGCGGTGAGCTGCAAGGCGATGGCTGCCTTGCCTGTCCGCTAGCCTCATATAGTTCGCTCGTCAGCCAGAGCCTCATTCCGTGCCCTCGCTAATTGAAGACACTCTCATACATCGCATCTAGGACAGACAAGGCCTCGGTCTACCTCGAAGAAGAACAAGAGTATTTTATTGAGGATTAACTTATAACTCGGCAGGAATGCTGGCTGCTTAGCCCATTATGTCAGACTCAGTCATTCTTGGCTTGCCTCTCAGGCGCGCCGCTCATCAACCCGTGATCAATGTACTACGTAATAGGTTATTGTTTTCACTAGCAACTTAGAGCCGCAAAATCTTATACGGGATCGATCAATCAAAACAGGACAATCATAATACAATGCTCTAATGTAGCCTAGTTCCTAGGGTCATGCACGCGATCGATATCACGCGAACGGCCAATATCAACATCTGCAAATATACGCTGTGGTTTCCTAGACTTATATAAGTTCACAGTACTGATGTTTCAGGGCCTCTAGATAGTTATCTTTCCTACTATCCGTTCAGAGCACTCAGCCCGTCGTCTAGTTTACGCCCATAAACGATATAGCTAGTCTCATATTAGTCGTCACTAACCTCGTCGTGTATAAAATGGGACGCTTACACGGGCCAGTACGCATAGATCGACCGGTTCTACAGGTCCTTCCTAACTTCGGCCAAGTAGACTATCGTTTCATTAGAACTCCAGTCCAGCTCGCGGGTAGATAATGCCATAGAGATAGCATCAAGGTCATCCTAGAGCCCTAACAGTGCCCACGCACCCAGCTCCTTGTGTTTTTTGTCTCGTGTCCATGGATTCGTGGGCCACTTCTTCCTTATCACCACGATATCTACAAAGCCCTCGTCCTCCATCATCTGCTAGAAGCGAGGTACCACAGAGATCGATCTCTTGGCGCGGTCGGCAGCAGTGATCATATAGCTTGTCCATTCTTTCAAGCGTATTCCCTGAAGAGTGCCGTCGTCACATCCTAGTGGAAAAGTGTTGTCCTATAGCTCCAAGTAGCCGTTCAGTCGGAGATTTCTAGAGACAGACGGCATTAGCAAAGTGTCTTAAAAAAGTCCTACTACTTACTCGAAGGCCTTTTTAACAAAGTCCTATGGCTCCCGGAAACTTCCAATCATGCCTCGAGCGAAGATAAAGTCGAAAGGCTTAGTCCATATCCATGTATGTTCGAGGTCGTCTATCATAAATATACAGTTAGGAGGGGACACTTTTTTCATTAGCGTCATGAGGTCAAATAAAGGCCCCACTCCCGGACCCTACAAAGGGGGTTAAATCGGGCTGAGATCCACACCAAAGACCTCCGCTTCTAGGTGTAAATCGGCTATTACACATAATGAGATATACGTCCAAATCTACATTCGACTAGTAGCCCACATACCATAGTCTATTGCCCAAACACCAGTTCCAGTACCAGCATCCAGCACCCTCGTGGAGCTGGCATTCGCGGGGCAGAGCGCAAGCCGGCCTTCCAATATCTAGTTCCACAGCATATATATGACATCTATTCGAATCAGCCGTGTCCGCGACGAAAGAGGTCGGCGGATATACCCAGCCTCTCTTTCTCTTACTGCAAAGCTATGAGCCAACTCCACCTCTTACGAAGATATTTCGTTTCTCACCTCATCGTTCGGATACAGATACTCTGCCCAATTATTGTCAATGCATTATCGGAGCTCAATTTCTGGTTACTTACTTCCACGGTTAAAGGCGTAGTAAGTACGGCCATTCTCTTTCTCAAAGTTAAGGATGCTTAACCACAGTGACGCCGTTGAGGACTCGTTGGAATCCTAACACGGTGTTAGTTAGTGGGAACAATGTGAGTTAGTAAGGACATGGGGATGCCCAGAAGGCATACTTCGTCGATGCCCGAATCCTCCATAGTCGGCTCCGGCTCCTAAATACTATCAGTTTATCGAGAGGCTATTCGCACGTCGGACTCATATAAGCACTGCCTCTTGCTCATCAGCCATCTTTACTATAGAATTGAGAGATAAGCTATCGTCACGAGGCAAGCAAATCTAGCACTGGAATGGAAGGGGTCAACTTAACAACATCTACAGCGCTACCTAGCCGAAAATGACAACCTCTCGGTCGCTCGCTCAATGTCATCACGCCTCTACGACCACCCTTCTATGCCTTGAGAGGGACACCTTGCTCTACCATCAGGCGCCAAGGCTCTTAGGTGGCACGGTAATGTGCGACATCCCAGAACCCCTCACATGAAAGCTCCGGTTCGTATTGGTGGCGGCGGTTTTGCGACAAGGCAACCTCCCATAGCTCTGGATACGACATCCACGTTTGCCAGACGGGGCATTCCCGGGATGCCTCATCAATGGATGCTATAGGATGTGACGCATCCGCACGGACAAGTCGAGGTGCGACCATCCGCCAGGGGTTGCTCCCTGTCGCCCAACGCTCCGAGCCACACCCATATCTACACACCCTTCCCTCGTCTCCAACACTGGCCAGGTCATTGGCTCCCGCCCAATCAAATAGAGGCTCGGTTTTTTTGTAAATTTAGAGCCGCTCTAATTAATATGAAATACCGAGCAGCCCGTATTCCGTGAAACCGCTCGCTTTTTTCCAACTTCTCGAGCCGCTCTATTTTACACCCAATTCCGAGCTGCAAGGACCATAACACCAAGGACCGATCTCAACTTCATTACTAGATCCGATCTCGCGCAGTTGGATGATCTCATCGTTGATTTACAACAGCAGAGAGCTATCCTACGGTCATTATTCAAGGCACTTCAAGTTCTTTCAACGAGGGTCACACGTCAGAAAAAGTTCCATCGCATCAGGGCAACATTAACCCTTATTTACGACGAGCCCAGGAATCCCAGAACCGATCGTTGGCGCGAGGCTCTTGAGAAGTTAGACGATGTTTCCAGGTCCCTCTACATCTTCATTCTAACAGAAAAGCAAATATTCGAAATCGGCGATGCGCCCTTCACTGCCTTAATCGAGGGGATTCGCCAGTTCGCTGAGGCAGATCCTGATCGAGGCAATATCATTATTTCCGCCCTTAGCGCTTATGTCAGAGAAACGATATCCGACGTAAAGAACAAGCCTAACAGGCGGGGTAAGAACTCACTCCGACGATGACAGCGAAGACGAGTAACACCTTGAGAAAGATGCGAATCCGTTGAAACGATCTAGAACCGCTGCTAGAGTAGAGGGCCGGAGACGCAAGCGTGCCAGTCCGCGAGAACAACTCACGATGGCTACCCAAACCCATCATATCACGGCGGGGGAGCTTGAGTTGGAAGACTGCCGTGTCGAGCCAGACTGTCAATCTTTGGTCTTCGCGCCAGGACACCACGAAGCTGCAGGCCCCGCGGCACCTTGTCGAGGCTTATCTGCACAGGTACGTAATACACCCTCGTGTCCGCGGACTGCCTCTAATAAATGCAGCCGACCACGCACGTTGAAGATTTTAGACAAGAATGTTACATTAAAGAAGACGGTCAACCTAGTTAGTTCGTTCGTAGCCTCACATCAGGCGTGCCGCCATCGTCATGTGGTCAGAGCACAAACCTCAATCACCACCGATGGGGTATCGTCCCTGCCATGTCGGACACCGGGTGGCTTGGTCGTGGACTGGACTTTAGCCTAGTATCTAACAGCGAAGAGATAGATCCTATTCCCCAAGACGAGTAGTTCGCCGGGCTACAACCAGCCTTATACGATCAGAACGAAGCTGTCTTGCCCAACTCAGCACCCACACCGCCACGGAACATCGTGCCGAGTTGGCATTACTGAGAGGCTGCTAATATCCAGTCTTGATTCAACTCAGCGGCATGATGACGACGGCTGAGTGATGCGCCAATTTTATCTCGGTTTCATCGATGACGGTATACCCTACGTATGCCAGATCGCAACTATTGCCGCCGACCTCAAACTTGCCGATGATCAGGAACACGACGCAAGGCGTCTTCACCGCCTCCTCCTGGCTCGAGTCCCGTGTTTCGACATACCGGGCTTCCTTCAGCCCAAACTGAAGGTTTGTTAGCATCACATCGTCTATGACCATGGAAATCACGCACATATTCGCTAACTACCTTTTCGACCTCCTCCTTCGATAGCCCGCGGATTTTCTCGTAGAGGCCTCGTTTATCGGTCGGATCCCTATGTCCGAAGATTAGCATTGCGCGCGCAAAGAGTCGTCTCGCTTTCCGTCGCGACAGAGTATGAAACGACCGGCCTTCCACAACCTCGACTTTTACCTCATATCACAACAAGGTGGAGAAGTAAGTGCACATAGCTGCGGGTTCTTCGGCACCGAAGATATTCCGCCCCGACCGTGGACACCATAGGAACGCGGTATACATTTCAGAGCCTAATCAATAGCAGATAAGCTCTAACTGACAAACGCCTCAAAAATACGAGCTCGTACACGCGAACTTTCGCAGCTAAAGCAACGATACATACGTCCCCTGAGATCTATTCCCAACAACCCTCTCACGGCATCTAGCCCGGGACTGTTCAGTAAGCTAGCCAGCACCTCGTCAGCCACTTCACGAAAGCACTCTCTGCTACTACAGGAGTAGGGAAGCCGGCGACCGAGACCCAACAACCCACCGACCTCCACGTAAAGTAAAGATGCTTAAGCCCGACGTCTCTATAACCAGCAGCGAAACTCCTCCTACGTTCGAAATACGGACTGACAGATTACTCTAGACTTCTCTCCCCTCGTGCCGAACGCCGCCCATATTACAATAAGTCTTGCGATTATCAACCCAGCGCCAGGTATCCGGCTAGTCTGCTTCGAACAAACATGCTCTCCTAATGTATTCGTATGGCATTGCGAACGGCCACACTACAACTAGCATCCGGGCGTTCCCGACAGTTTTTCCGATGATGGTAACCCGAATTTCGCATTCTACAACGAGTGCGTTCAAACACCCGAGCAGCGCTCTGCCACGAGCGCAATGAGATGGTCTAAATTACGAGGATCTCCAAGATCAGAAGAAGGATCAAGGTGGGCATGCCCTCCAGAAGATTATGGACCGGCAAGATGGGCCATGTCCTCCGCCAGTTTTCACTCATGGTGATCTGAACCCGTTCAACATTCTTGTTCGTGAGGGCAAAGTGGTTGGAATCATTGACTGGGAGTTCTCAGAATAGTATCCCGACTATTGGGAATATACTTCGGCCTAGTTTGGCAACATTACGAGACTCGGATGGCAGAGTAAGCTTGATAAGTTTCTCGATCGACCACATACCTCTTGAGGACTTTGAGATGGAGGAAGTTCGCAATAAATGGTGGGGTGAATGCTGAATGGACATGGATACATGGTATGGCATGGGCTATCCCATCGGTGGGTAGCATCGACTGACTTACCAACCTACACAAAACTGGATTTCGGGCCAAACATGGACATCGATTGAACTACTAGATGGGAGAAGACAAATTCGGGCAGGCAAGGGTAGGACGTGATGTGCCACTATTTACGGGTGAGTGAACGGCCACAGCCGCGCCACAAAGGCGCATACCAACGCGTTTGATAAGGTATCAGATTGGCCTCACCCCATGCCGCCGCAGTAGTGACATCCGAGGCCCTGCAGAACAACCCTGCCACGACCAACAGACCACACATCCACTCTGGCATCACGATCCTATCAGAGCAGATCAGTTTCTGCTGGAGGAGGCCTTGCATTGTCCTATATTTATTCTACTGCTATGATGCCAGTGACAAACAGCTGGAAACCTTCCACGAGGATCTTGGTCATCTTGGCTACGGAGTCAAGATTGAGCAACTCAGACCGTTCTGCGTATACGAAATCGGTGAAGAAACTGCCAGTGGAATGGTCTCCCTTCAACCTTCCTGTCAACCTGTCGCCGGCCAAGCGAGTAAAGCGTCCGAATGCTTGCAGTTCGCTGACGAACGGCACAGTTTGACAAAACTAAGCAAGACTAGGACGCTTGGTGGGATTGCTTCGGCTCGAGGTAGTACCAAATTGAGACAGGGAATGAATGTTCCCTATCTGCTTCGTTTCTCCCGGCAATTCAGGCCTCAGACAACACATTGAAGGATCATGGAAGTGGTGTTGTTTCTGGCACCATGGGGACATGTGGTGTCGGAGACGGAACAGATATCTCTGTTAAAGAAATACTTGACGCCTCGCACATAGCAAACCAATTTTGTGACCTGTATGCCCTCACTGAGCCTTCGCAGCGCGCCCATCCCGATATACCAACACAAGCACTTTGGTTCTCGTCGGATCCGTTCGAAATGCACCACATTGCCGAACAAAGCGGATGTTACCAGCCTGATCAGCCACTGTTTTACTGAAGTCCGCAACAGGGTCTCGACACTCAGTTGATGGACTGGTGCGGCTAGGATGTGTGACTATTAGAATGGCCATCCGATGCTCTCTCAAAGGAAACCAGTCACAGGGTACTATAATAAAAGGCATTTTGATCATATCCCAAAGGCATAAGCCGTGGTGCCTGCGGCCTGCATCTTCCTCGGCTTGAACACGCGCCTTAAATGTGGTCCGATCATCCCGTCCGAACCAAACGCCTCAGCTGGGTACAGCCCCTGGCGTGAAGCTAGAGCCCGTGCACTTATCTGATAGAGGGGGCATACAGACTGGAAGCAAAAAAAATCATGCGCCGATCTGGATACACGCTTGACTGGCGCGTGGCTTTTTGCCCTCGAAAGGCCGCGAAAGCGTTGCGGCTGTCGGCCTGGTGACTTACCTCTGCCGACGTCAGCCAATGGTCGGCGTTAAGCCACCTCCTCAGGTACTGAGTGCTCGTCTCGTCACCAGAGTACATAAGGCGCGTGGTCCTCCCCGCCGGCGTTCGTTATCTTAGCCCCAGCTTTTGACAAGCGCCTGAGAGAGTCGTTACCCGAGAACCTTTAAGGTCTTGTCTTGTCTTTCTGATATTCTACAGCATTAGTACTTTGTATATAATGGCGTTCTTCCCTGAGGATGATTGGTCGCAACAACAGCAGCAGCAACAACCGCAGCATTACTCCGGATATCCTATGATAGGGCCGTCTGTCTTCCCTCAGTATGCCCCGCAGCGGAAGCAGTATGATCCCGGGACAAGCTAGCATGACCCGAGGGCCGTCGAAACCTCTGGTCCTCTCGTCGCCCCACACAAGGCTCCTCACTACGTGACGGCACCCACCTATGGTGTATCACCCGTATCGAACACGGAGCCTCACGTCCCCGTCAAGGCCCACGCTCCCAGGACGCTGGACCCTATGAACACGAAGGAAATCATCTACAACAAGCCTGTCATGGCAGACGATGTCTTTTTTACTACCCCTGTCGATGTCATGATGAAGGCACTCCAGAAGAGGAAGGACAAGGAGGACCTAGCTACCAGCAGGTCTTCAGAGGCTAGTACCTGCAGTGTCAAGTCCGAGCTGTCTTCGGCCCATCCAGTATGTTCTATGCACGGCTACGAGTTTGAGAGAGACTGACATTCTTCTAGTCTGCCACTGAATGCAGCCAAGATGACACTGACAAGGCAAAGAGATATAGGTGTCCTTACGATGGCTGCCGCAAGAGCTTCCAGCAGAACACGCATCTGAAAACCCACAAGCGTGCTCACAATGGCGACAAGCCTTACGTAAGTGCTCCTCGTGTTGATATTGGACGATCGCAAGCCGAATCCAGATGGTTTGAGAACCGTTATTACCTCTAGCGGCATACTAGAATGCACCAGGAATGCGAGTGGCATGGGTGCGGGCGCCGATTTTCCTAGCCTGGAAACCTCAAAAGCCATACCCGCCTTCACACAGGCGAGTGCCCTTTCAAGAGCGAGATCTGCAGGGCCTGCTTTGCCCAACGCGGCAACCTGACAGCACACAAGGAGACGCACAGAAAGACCAAGCGTTTCGTCTGCAAGCTCGAAAACTGTGACAAAAACTTCACGACCCGAGGAAACCTCAAGGTAAATCGTTCCAATCGTTTAAGGAGATGTTCTTCTATTAAATTGCACAGAACCACCAGAATAAGTACCATAAGGAGACCATCGGACGTATTGTGGACTTGATCGTCTCTCTCAGGAACGTCGGCGCGTTGTCGCCCAAAGACCGCGACCTGATCTCCTACATTTCCAACATCTACAAGAACAGTAACAAGGGTATCAAGGGTCGTGGCCGAGACCGCCGGGTCAGCGAGGTCCGTATAGGCAAGGCGAAGCTCTCCTCGCCTGGTATGGGCGTCCCCTGATGAAAGATGCTCGACTCGTCTTTCTGCCACATGGAATGACGAGGATTATCCTGTTACAATTGGATTTCTTTAGTCTGCTGGCTTTAGAGCCTCTGTACGGCGAGAAAGGTGTACAAAGGAATCGAATGAGAAGACTGAATGAATGCCTAGCTTAGTGCACACGTGAAGAAGGTGCTCTCACGTTTTGTGCTTGTCTCAACTACGGCGAGCCGTGTGTCCTTCGTGTAACCCATCAGGAGACTTCGTGCGACCTGCTGTTGATGTTTGGTCTCATCGCAGTAAGGGTCATCAGCAGCTCTTCGTCTTCGACTGTGTACGTTGCATTCTACCATGATCCCCTTGGTATGAGTACTGTTCTTTTATCACCACATGATCGCTTATGCTCTCTTCATTATAAGTATTGCTGCCCAAGCTAGTGGGTGTATCGTACATGTCGCGCACTCACTAATGATTGATTAGCTCCGGTTACCACTTCTAAATTCTCGCATTAGCACGCCATACCCATCTTGGAGGCATGCGGCACTGGTTTTTGAAATAGCATCATTTAAGGCTTCTAACATCGTCGCTTCTGTCCCGTCCCTGTTTGTAGGAGCTTTTGGTCATGTGGGACATGCACCACGCGCACTTGCTTCTTCGTCCTACTAATTCCGAGCAGTTTGATGATGTCTCGAGCCAATCATTGTCGACAAGTCTGCTGACAGTACCGCTGACTCAGTAGAACCGGCTGGCTGCCTGTGATTACAGCCCGAAGTGGGGTAACTTTCAGGTGCAAATCTGGCCACCCACCCCGCCTCACAATCTTGGGAACTGACATCCACCTGGACCGACCGGTGATGGTAACAGCCGCGACACCCTTTCTTCTACGAAATCATTCGTCGCGATGACTGTAACCTCTCGCCATATTCCTATCACTCGACCTCCTGACGTCTGACCCAAGTGTCGAAGCTCGAGCTGTATATGAGGTGCTGTACCCCTAAATCGTCCAGCGCCGCTCTTCCTCTGACCGACAAAAGATCCAACAAAGGTACATCATCTCGACTGCAATCTCTGCACTGGACTCGAAATAAACCTCCCGCCAGTCAATACAACGGTAAGCAAATGACACGTTCCATCTCAGTGATCCGTTTCGGTATTGACCAACCTACACCACAGATCTTTGATTCGATTCCATACGTTTACGAAGCAGTTGCGCCATGGCCGCTGATGATGCGCTCAGTGGGAAGCCCCAAAGCTTTGAAGGGGAGCATGAGTACACAGTCACTACACAGACGGCGGTATCGTGTAAAAAGGCTCTGATGATGAAAATTCATTCTAGCACAGGTACACTTAAGTGGTATGGGACCGATACGGTGGGCAAATCTGTCGTCATGGGTGACAAAGTTTGGGTTTTCACGCCAGTAGATATCTGCTTTACTTCGTCTCTTCAACCACCGTCGTGATAAACTTCAAATACCGAACAATCTTCAATCCCAGAGGATGCGCAACCCTGATCATCAAGGTCATGTCGTGATTTGGATCGACCGGAACAACAGCAGTGATGCAGTCAGTGCGCCAATCACCCTGGTGAAGTGATTCCTGTTCTTCTTGACGCAAGTTTCGCTCCATTTGCCGTTCCCAACGCCATTGACGAGAAGCCAGCATGGCTGGGTATATTGCAGCTATGGCTTCCTCTGTGCGGAGAACCAGGGCTTCTTTCAGGATGAAGACATTTCCGGGATCGACGTTCGGCGGCTCACTCAGGAGGTCTTTGTTTGCTTGCAATAAGTCCTCCGCGACGAGGATTTGAGGCAGGGGGTTGAGAAAGAGAGGCTCGATCTGTTTGATTTGCTGTAGCTCAACGGGTTCCAGGCGACGGGCCTTTCTGGTGTTGCTGGTCCGAAGCGAGAGATACTCGTGGTGTTTTGGGTCGCTCTCAACTGCGCGGCGCAAATCTTGGCTGCGTTGATCGCCTCTCGCTCCACAAGCGTTAACTATGATCTTGACGAGGTATTGCCTCATATCAGGTGTCATCGTACAATTGACATGGTCTAGCAATGTAGGCAGGACTTCCCCTAAGCCATATCGCTGAAGACGGTCGCGAAAAGACCGCGTTATACTGTAGAGCCCGACAATGAGAATATCGATGAATTTCGTTGAGCGAACCCCAAGGAGTGGCCGAAGGACATCATTGTCATCCTCCGCAGAACCTAGCAATGTAGCCAAGTTCGATTTGAACAATTCAATCTTTGACGTGCCCCGGTGAACGTCAGTGGCGCTGATGGTTCGAAGCGACCCAGCATCGTTGAGAATGCCTTTCCGGACCAAAAAGAGCGCGTTCGCAGCGTCAAGCTTGATGCGGGCAGACTCTATCGTGTCTTTCAAACAAAAAAGCCCGAAGTCGGAATGTTTCCATTGGAGAGGTCCCATCGAGATACGGTCAGCAAAGCAAAGTCTTGTGGAAAAGATATTGGAAGTCGCTGGCTTGTTCATGGGCGTGTTGATGGGCGTGATCACGGGCGTAAGCATAGAGAAAGTCATGGAAAAAGCTACATGATGAGTCGTGAAAAACTAATCGTCAAGGAAAACGTCGTGTGCGGGGTAAGTACATGGCCTGTGGGGACCCATAAGAAGGGGCGGGAATATCCCGGTCTTGATACTCTATCAGCCTATCAGAGTCGCCATGTGACGACCCCTCTTATAGACACAACACGCTAGACCAATTTGATTGATGCCCACGCCCAATGACCATATCTATTGTCTCACATAATTATAATCATGCAGGCTTTATGGCTGTAGTCACAGCTCAATCTATGACCTTAACCAGGTCCTTCATCAGCACCACTGGCATGATCTTCTATATGGCAACGCCCATGCCAATGCTCATCCACTTGTCCATGACCACACCCATGACCATATCCATACATTCACCTATGCCTAACGTCCTGACAGTCCTACTAACGGCACCAGGTCAGTGGCCGGGTTATCAAGGCACCTCAAAGCCAGCTGACTGGACCTCAATCATTAACAGAAAGCGGCAGTGACTCCAAAAGTTTTAGTCCCCGTCAACAATATGAATATGCGATTCCATGATTGTTACTCGAAAGGATCAGAAGTTTGAACCCCCATTATTGACAGTGCCGATACCATAGTCCAATATGGTAGCCATCTTCATAACAGAAGGAAAAGAGACCGGTGGCTGACTTATCAGTAATATACGCAGTGGGCTCGGGTATTGTGTAGTGCCATCCATGGCTACATGAACACCCAATATCATACCCTTACGTGACCATGCGGCCATCAAGCGGCCTTTGTCCGCCCCTTGGCGATCTCATATTTTGAACTCCTTCTCGCCCTGCAGATTACTTTGCGAGCTGGCACGCTAAACCATACACGGCGGGTACTTCGTGGCATCCCAAAGCGAGGGCCATAACGTCCTATGCCTAAGTTGACCTGGAGTTAACCCTGCTGCTTCACTACAAAGTATCGCTGTACCATCTGAGAGCTCAAAAGTCTCAGTGGCGGGGGTTGCCCAGCAGAAGAAAGGAAACCACAAGATATAAAAGCTTCGCGCCCATGGAAATTCACTCTCACAAACATTTCATGATACAGCCCCTCTCGTGCCTCCTTCTTAAAATATAAGAACACGGCAGCACACAAAAGTAAGTGTGTTTCAATAAAAAACCTCCTCAATTGCAATGGCTGACCTCCAGCCTAAATTCAATCCTTCTCAATGTGCTCCAAGGAAAACCACTCCCCGTTAGATCGCTCGGGGCAAGGGAAAGCCAATAATGGCGAAACTTACCCAGTTGACGACATTGATGACGAGGAGCAAGACTTAGTTGACAAGGGCAACATTAACGCGGCGAAGACTACGGTATAAGGGTACGGGAAAGGGCGAAGATGTGTCGTAGTTGGGGAGACGGGGAGAATGAGTCAGCCACTGTGGCACAGGGACGTGGCGCTAGCCTAATACTCAAGAAGTGGGGGTTGGCTCGTGTAGCAACATGCGAGAATTCTGAATCCGTCCCCCGCATCTGCTGTAACAATACTCGTTCAACCATGCCTGGATGGCTTCAAACAGTTCTCGAAGGTCCTTTTGCCGATGAATCATCGAAGAATGGACCTGCCGTCGAAGAAACTGCCCATAACCTTGCTGAAGACTTCCCAGTCAGCGACCGTCGTAACTCTCGTAACGATGACTGCACAACTGCGGCAAGTTTGGATCGCAGGCAAGTGACAGGTACACCCAGTCTGAGTCTGGGTATGGGTTCAGATTGCCAGAAACTTAGGTACATGGCCTCGGAAGCGTATAGGCTCTGCCCAGCCAACAAAATCCTGCGCCAGATATTTCTGATGTGGCCTCTTTTAGACGAAGCCATTCAACTCGTCAAAGAGGGTATCACGGCCCCAGCCACGGTGTGTACAATATAGAATTCACCCCAAATTATTCGACTGACAGTGTCAAGTACCTCGAAATCACCAAGTTTCTGCTCGACCGCGGCTTATGTCTTGACAGCAGGATCAAGATACCGTTTATTATAGAGCCATGCGATTGGTTTCCTTTGAGGGACCATCAGATGGCTATCGTCGTCATTATGCATCCTAGCCCTACGAATCCAACAATCGAGTGTCGGTACCCCTTTACGGCCTCCAGTCAATCGTCAGCTGATCAGGCTGGCGACTTCCATTTCGTTCGACCGGGTGGTGCATTCCGAATGGACCCGGCAACGACCAAGGTACTTGTTCTGGTGCATCGGGTCGGGCAAGCTGCAGAGGTTCAGTGAACCCATACAGGCCCCATAAATCGTCTGCTGGCGGCGATGTATCAGGGATCTCGTCGACTGGGAAATCTGTGTCATGCCCCAGGTTGTGGGTTACCAAGCCAGGAAAAACACTTTGACCGTAACTTAGCAATGCGTCGCCTGAAAGCTTCAAATGTGGTTGCAAAAAAGCACTTAGACGATACGTCTCATCCATATCAAGCGAAGTCTCGGGTGCTCTGTCAGCTGAAGGGGATCCTTTCGGCCACGTTCCGGACTGGGCTCCTCGGATACTTTTGGGAGGGTGGGCGGATTTCGAGTGATTGACGATAGGATAAACACTTTGATCTTGTAGTTCTGTTGGAGCAAATTGTGACTGCCGAAGTTCAGAGAGCTGGACGATCATAGTTGGACCGTTTGTTGATGTTGACATAACCGGCCTTTCAAACTGTGAATCCTATCGCGGCCCGAAGTTAGGTTATAGTTGGGACTCGAGCTAGTCTTATGCTTACCTCTTCAGTCCGCAGCTTTGGGTGGTGACGTTGTTGTCTCTTTGTTGGCTGCGTGGTTGAGTCCGAAACCACTCTCTCTTGAAAAGAGCGGTTGACGGGCCTATCCTTCACACGTTGCATGTGCTTTCTCACTGCATCGCCAACAATGTCGTCCATCCGCCTCTTCGTCAAACTCATGCGCCACGTGAGCTGAAGAAGCTGCACAAGTCGCGGTAATTCGGATTCCTTCAATTTCGCGAAGCTGTACATCTTCAGCAAAAATTTGTATGGGTGGGGTGTGTTACCTGCCTGGTTGGTGACCGGTGTTCAGGGAGGTCAAAGGGTGACCAACCCTCCGCCATATTCATGGCCAGCTGCGCATACTTCTCACCTTCTCTGAGTATGGTTCTTAGTCGGTCTAATTTGACGTCATAACCGACGCTAGTTAAATCGTCATGGATAGTTTGTAGGCGCCTATGAGAATCATACTCGATTTTGCAGTACTGATGTAATCGCAGGACGATGACTGGCCGGACAGGGGTGTTTTCGATCTTAAAGGCAATGTTAAGTGGTAGCAGCTCGTCCTCATGCCAAGGTTGCCAAACGCTTGGTGACACTTCATACTCAGCAATAAGAGCCTCATTGTCCCTAAGAACAAAATCTTGGGCGTCCTGCGAAACAATGCGTCGGACGTCAGCTGACTGAGAACCGAGCCATCGGAGAAACTGTGAAGGGATTAGTAAGGTATGATGGATACCGTCGTCCAATGTGAGAGGTCTGACTTGAAAATGTGGGTCCTTGTCGAGCATGGTGATAATTGGTCAGCCCGTCATAAAGATGGTTGGGTTCGAGTGGGATTGTTAAAATCCCAGAGCGGGACCTGGGATTTTTGAAGTTTCACGTCCTAACCCTAAGCACTTGCGTGTGCTCAAGACAGGGGTAACTCTGGGACATTTAAAATCCCAGCGCTAGCAACCGCTTGCCAGGGTCCGGGCCCCATCTGAAAGTGGGGAATATCGACAGCCTCTCCATCATCAGCATGCTTATCTGCTTCCAATCTCGGATGCCTTCACCCCTGGAGTAGTAGGTATACACCGGTGTTGTAAAAAGGCAGCCTCCGATCGTATCAGACTCGATGAGGTCTGTATAATGTCCAGACTGGCGCTAGTGTCAGGTAAGTGATATTGAGAGACCCTCTCAGCTCATACCTCCCATCACACCAGCCGGGCCAAAGCGCCCCTTGCTCCACCGAGTCGCATGTAACCTGTGCTCTCAGGCCGGCTACGAGGACCAGGCCTTCCAGGCCGATATAATTGCAGGATGCATGCCTTCCCGACGTGGTTGCCTTCATGCATAAGATCGCAATCACATTTCGATATGGCTCTGAAACTAAGAAGGGCCGGCAAAACAAGACGCTGCAAACTATCGCGGAAGCAGTCCGCCAAATCTTTACCTCTTGCTTCGCGCAAGAAACGCCGCATTTCGGGAGCCCGAGGACTCTCCATCGCGGCTCTCGAGCACTGGGGTGTTCCGGAAACCGAATCCAGAGAACTATCAAGGCAATGCATCCAATCCCTTCAGCGCCCACTTTCAAAACGGATGCTCAGCAGGTTCCAGAGGGTACTTCAGTGCCGACTTAACTCTGCGCAACAGCGAATGGTTTGGATCGATCTCCGAGTCCGCGTGAGGCATCTCCATCCCTTTCTTCAAGGTGTCGACATGATTTTTGAACTGGAAGAAGCAATGGTGAGTTTTTTTACTGGGGATTTCGTCCTTTACTAAATGGACCAGTTGGACTTTTGGAGGTCAGTGAGCTGGTTACCACTTGCACCAGACAGCAAGGCCATCCTGATGGCGAAGAGGAGCTCAAATATATTGAGAGGAGCGCTGAACTCATCTGCTGCTAATCTAATCAGTCGAAATGAGGATATCACAGCCTCCCAATGGATGGAAGACTGGGAGAGCTACATCGCGCGGGCTGAGACAGGGGAGGAACAGGGGTCAATTGAGTTGAACACCAACATTGTTTGATACTCTTCGCTTCAGTATGTCTTAATACGCGCTGTTTCCTCATGCAAGCCTTGCATAACTAGATGCAGGCCTCTGTCCTAAAACGAGTGATGTTGTCAGGCCTAGGAATTCATGTGTTGTACTTGGAGCATTTCGTCGGTGATCCAAATAGGAAGCCAGCCCCCCCACTGACTTTGCCCCCAGAAAGATCCTGGCGGTTCGCGGACCACATTTTTTGCCTCATGGATTCTCCAACACCTGAAACAACTCCCCTCCTGAAGAGAAAGGCTAAGAACAGCCTGCCTAGGGCGCAGGCCTTCGCTCTTGCTCGGTTTCTGTTGATTCTCCTCCTCTGCATTACAGGCCATTTTTTCCCTATCGCTCTACGGTACTATACTTCGATTGATGAAGACTGGGAGAAAATCATTATCGACGCCACTCGTCACGTCCTGGACCTTCTATGGGATTTCGAAGTGAAGCCTGGCTTAGAATACATGTCTTGTGAGGCCGTCAAAAAGAGCGCCACTGAGGATAGCGATGTCACACGAGCCGTCAGAAAGTCAGAAGCACCCAATGCAGTCTTGAAAGGCTGTCTGCTGAAAGCGCCATCGATCGTCGCTATGGGGACGATGAATCTCGAAAAGGAAATGATGAAGCTTCCATATGCAATACTGTTCAGCACTCTCGTCGCTGTAGCTCTAGCCACTAGCTTCTATTGGGTTTTCTCTCCACGCGCTCAACTCACTCAAAGCGCCAAAGCAGCCAGAGACGACGCGACGTAAGCAAACACTATGATTATTCTCGCAGTTGACTGACACAGAGAAGGGAAGCAGGCGATCCGATGGCCGACACGAAGCAAGACACCTTCACAAATATTCAATCACGCACTGCGGTGTGCCGATTCATGTGGGGTGGTTCCCAAGTGTTGCTGTTCGGACTTCTATTGCCGCATATGAAGGATCGTGGGCTCGCTTTCACCTTCAATCGCGAGCTTTATGGGTTTCAAACGACGTGCGAGAAGATGATGCAGAACTTCCACCGAGCCCGTAGGATCTGGAAAGCCATGCATAAGAGGGACTTTGTGCACGTAGCTGCAGTCGGAGCCGACAAAGCTTGGACAGCAAGATGCTCCCATACCTTGTAAGTTTTCAAGACGATGTTATCAATTTATCTGCTGACCGATACAGAAACAAGAGAAACTGAAAAGACTGACGACAAATGCCGCCTCCGGGACCGACAACTCGATCGAGTACGACTGGCTTGGCCCCGTGTCTTGCCTCAGGCCAGGGAGCCTTCAATCAATCCAAAACGCAAAGACAACAGTAAAGCGATGGATAAGCGCCGTGGGCGAGGTGTCATGTCACACGGCAAAGCGTGTCGTCTTTCTCATCAGGGACACTCTCACCAACAACATGACAGAACCTCAACTTCCAAGTTACTACTGTGCCATCACCAATCAAAAAGGGGAGTGCAGTTGTCAGACGGTGAGAGTGTCGGACGCAGCTACGGGATTTACTACATGTGATCGCTGCGACAGTTGTGTTGTATGGTCATATGAGGGCGGACAAAGTGACTTTCTTTGGGTCCTTCAGGGGGGGTGGCCACCAAATGACTTGATCGAAGTACAGTCTGACGTCTCACATTGCGCGCATCTTTTCAGCGTCGCTGGTGGGCCAGAATGCTCTGTCCCGCATCCCGACCTCGGAGACGAGGAGCTATTATTGATGAGGACTGCTTGGGAAAGAAGCTATATAAGAAGAGAAGAAGAAGAAGAGGGCGGTTCGCCGGCAGAGTAACCATGGCTGAATACCTTTCTCGCTTAATATGGGTCAAATAGGGTTTGTTGTGAAGAGTAGGGTTCTCAGATAACCATCTACCCCCAGTTTCTAATCAGTACATTCATTTCACGTGGAAGTTGCGTGCAAAGGGATGAGTAGGGTCACTATCCTTTTGTCAGTGACAATTTGACACCGAGTTCTACTTAAATATCGCCCACAACATTGCACAATGCCTTCGAGTTCCTGCACTCCGGATAATGACCCTGATGCACAGTATCTGTCTGATCGTCTTCCGCCCTTGCACTCGAGTCATGATCCTCTGATGATTGTGTGAACAGGAAATCAACTTGTCCTGTCTCTTCGGGGTATTCTTCCAAGATGCTTCTGACTGCTGGTATGTTTTTCAAGACGATCCAGTGATTTTTCAGCTTTCTTAGTTTATTTTCTAGTCTTGTGACTGTGGCCTGCGATCTTTCGTATGAGCTTTCTTTGTTGCCTCGATACTTTCGCTGAGCAAGTCGGATTTGAGTGCGTCGGCGCTATCTTATTAGCTCGATCATCACGTGTGAAAAGAAATTAAACTGACTTCTTCGGAATTTGTAGTGTTGTCATCTAATCTCGGCCTTCCGCGCCTTTTTCTCGGATGTTGTTGAGTTCTGGTGAAGTCTTCCCGGTCTCGCAGAGGCGGCGATAGAGCGGGAAACTGCTCTTCGCTGTGTACAGTTTGCTGACTGGATTCATGCATCTCAAAGTGATAACCGCTAGGGTTGGAAACACTCGGAAAGCCTGCCTCCAGATGATTGTAAGAAAATCGGAGCATTGCTTCAGGAACTTGACTGAAAAAATCAGGTTCAGTAGATTCTGATGAATGACATGGGAAAGCTTGTAGGTAGGTGGTGGCAATATGAGGATCCATTGTAAAACAATCAAGAGAGATAAGAGGTTCGGATTAAACAGCTTACGATGCGCAGCATCTGAAAGATGTAGTTGATATAAGCAGACTTTGATCGCGACGCGGTAGGGTGTTGTTAAGATAACATTCCCAGCTGGTGCTGCCTGGATTTGCTGGACTCCGGGGGGGTCGCAATTCAAAGGGTTTTCCCTCTTCATTTTTTCCCCCCTTTTTTTTTTTTTTTGGGGGACCCTTCCCGGTACCCCCCGGGTGGCCCCATTTTTGGGGGGGGGCCCCAACCCCTTGTTTTTCATGTTGCCACCCTTTAAAGAGGGAAGGGGGCCCCTTTTTGGTTGGGGGGGGGGGGGGGGTGGGGGTGTGGGGTGGGGATTAGTCTTGCTGCGTCCACCAGGATCTCCACCCGCCGAACCAAGACATGCTGTGGCCAAGGCATGTTAGTGGCCAAGGCATGCTCAGCTCGTCAGCCTGCTCAAAACTGGCCATTCATGCGTTGTTAG